ATTCGCATAATTCGATGTTACAATAACTATAATTTCAAGGTTGGTATAGTGTGTACTCTAATGCGTATAAAACAAGCATCATATACTAGCGTGCGTCCCTTCTTTAAGTGTGGGGCTCCATTGCTATGCATTCCGATTTCGACTTCGAATCTAACACATCTGAAAACAACAGTAATGAGCATCAATAGACCCAGTAAGAAAATATAGAAGTCAAGACTACAGTATAAAAACCAAAAAATTTCCCACCCCAACACTCATCACTTAGACCCTCACTCCCACCTATCCATTCTCACATCTCTACCCCAAGATGGCCAATTCCCCATAACTTCGTTACCTATATCCACTCAATTGCACGTACTGCTTACTCCTACTAACACCAAACTACTCCTACCACACCCGTAGCTACGGTCCTGAACACACTCACAGTTCACCTATGTCCACTACTCAACCTCAGTATCGGAACCAAGTAGTCTTTACCGACCACACATCCATACCTTCCACTCTTTCGGCCTGGAGAGGCCACCCACACACATCACTCAGTCGGTTATCCCTTAATACCAAATGCGTGCATGTGCCTCATCTTCTTCCTATTTTTGAGTTTCCAAATAACTAGGAATTAGGTATAATATAAATATACATAGATAAATTAACAACAAACAACGTATAATATACACATATGTATACAATACTTGGTAATTGACTACTATCGATTTTTACGATGACGTGTATTTTTAAAATAATTAAATACCAACTAAATTTTTTAATTTTTAAAAAAGTAATAAAAATATTAGTTTGTAATTAAATTAAACATTTAAAATAAATTTTATAAAAATATTTAATTTATTGTAAAATAACGAATTCAATTAATTTTTATTAATAATTCAATGGAGTCCGGGTGTGCTTCCTGGCTTTTTTTATACAAACCATCTGCCCTGTTCAGCCGAACCCAAAGTTTAAGAACAAAGCAAGTGACTTTTTCGCAAACAAGGGACAATATTGATCGACCGGGTGGTCCACGTGGTGATAAGATACTGGACACATCCTAGGGCTAGGAGCT